GAGTATGTGGTCTATTTTGGAGAATGACCCATGTGCAGCTGAGAAGAATGTGTATTCTTATTTTGTGGGGTGAAACACTCTATAAATATCTGTTAATTTCATTTGTTTAAGAGTGATTGAGTTCTAGTATTTTGTTGCTTGTTTTTTGTCTAGTTGATCTATCTATTTGTGACAGTGGGGTATTGAGGTCCCCCACTACTATTGTATTAGTGCTTATATGATTTTTCATGTCCATTAGTATTTGCTTTATATAGTTGGGCACACTAGTGTTTGGTGCATAGATATTTATGATTGTCATCTCTTCCTCTTGGATTGTTCCCTTCACAAGGATGTAGTGTCCTTCTTTGTCTTTCTTAATCAGTGTTGGTTTGAAATCTACTTGATATGCAAATAGGATAGCTACTCCTGCTTTTATTTTTGGTTCCTGTCACATGGAGTATTGTTTTCCACCCTTTAACTTTCAGTCTGTGAGTTTCTTTTTGAATTAAGTGTGTTTCTTGTATGCATCGTATTGTTGGATCTTGCTTCTTGACCCATTCTGCTAGTCTATTTCTTTTGATTGATGAATTGCGACCATTATCATTGATGGTTGTAACTGATACGTATTGACTTATCACTGTTATGATTTTTTATTTTTGTTGGATTCTCCCCCTTTGCATTTAATTTCTTGTTGTGCCCGATGGATTCATTCTGTTGTGCATGCTGGGGTTGTAATCCTCACTGTCTTTTCCTAGGATATTGTCATAATTTTTTGAAGTGGTGCTTTGGTATTCATGAAGTTGCTAAGGTGCTCTTTTTCATGAAAATATCTTAGTTTTCCATCGATTTTGAAAGATTGCTTTGCAGGGTACATCAGTCTGTGTTGAGGCTGTTTTCCTTTAGGGCTTGGAATACGTCACTCCAAGCTCTTCTTGCCTTGAGGGTTTGTGTTGAGAAATCTGCTGTGATCCTGATGGGCTTTCCTTTGTATGTGATTTGTTTCTTTTCTTTCACTGCTTGTAGAATTTTGTTCTTCTGTGGGTTTCTGGAATCCTAACAACTACATGACTATGTGTACATTTCTTTTTTTATCATGGCTAGTTGGAGTCCTATATGCCTCATTTGTCTGTATTTCAAGTTCTTTTCCCCTGCTTGGGAAGTTTTCTGCTATCACTTCTATGAACCTTTTTTTTATGTCATCTGTACTCTCTCTGTTTCTTCATTGACTCTGATCAGTCTTATGTTATTCGTCTTTACATCCTCTAGCAGCTGCTGGATTGATTTCTCATGGTCTCTTACTATTTTAAAGAAAGTTTTCTTTTCCTGGTCACTAATTGCAATGTTATCTTCTATATCTGAAATTCTGTCCTTACATTGGCTCATTCTGCTGTGTAAACTTTCAATGGAGTTTTTAATCTCCTGGAACTCTGTTTGTATCTGTTTTATGGATTCCATTTGTTTCCTATGTTGGGATTGCATCATGTTCCTCAGTTCCTCTATTTTTTTATCTGTGTTCTGTCTAGATTTATTTATCATGTCTTGCACTATGGGCCCAATCTCTGCTGACATGTGAGAAATTATTTCTGATTTCAGTTTTCCCAGATCCTCTTTTGTTGCTAGTTCAGGGAGTCCAGGTGTTTGAGTATCAGAGTGTTCTATCTCCTTTCTCTTTGGAGTTGCTGTAGGTGATCTGAAAGTCTGGTTCTGAAGCTTGTTTACCTGTCTCCTCATTTCAACAGGGGGAAGGGAGGTGCTGGTGTCCATGCGGCTCACATCCTCTGTTCTGGGAGCCGGGGTAGGTTGGCCCAAAAGCCTCCTACTCTGCACTGAGAGCTCTGGCATGTTGACCCAGAAGCCTCGTCTGCACTGGGGTCTGTAGCATGTTGCTTCCCATCAAGTTCTGACAGAGACTATCTGTATCATAAAGTCTTATGTGATTATGTACTGGACAACTGACCATCCACAAATCTCATCCTAGAGAACAGATCACAATAGTTAATACAAATGTACCAGATATGAATGTTGTCCTCTGAAAGCAATGACTACTTCCTCTAGCCATCCACAAAGTACAGTCTATGCCTCAGTAAAGGCCATGTTCTTAAAGACTCACCTCGAGTAGCTACCAAAAGTTCACATTCCACCTTTGTGTATAAAGGTAATGGTGCATACACAGTGAGCTATTAACTATCAAAAGAGATCAAAGAATTTCTGTCATTTTTATTTATTGTCACTACACTTTAGAAAGTTTATCATGAGTATTAATTACAAAATATTTTCCTGGATGGCGCACAAAAAGGTGAAATTTAGAAATAATATACAGATTGGGAGAATATATTTAGAAAGACATGTATTTGATAAAGGGGTTAATATCCAAAATATATAAGAAACTCAAAGAAAGAAAACAAATAACTCAGCTAAGAGAATGGACATGGACCTGAAAAAACATTTCTCAAAAGATGATACAAAATTGGCCAACAGATAAATGAAAAAATACTGAATATTACTAATCATTAGGAAAATGCAAATTAAAACCATAATAGGTCACTGTCCATTTATCAGAATGACTATTACCAAAATGAGAAAGGCTGAAAGTTAGCAAGGATGTAGAGACAAGTGAGTCTGCATACACTGTTGATGTGAATGGAAATTAGTATGGCCCATATGGAAAACTGTATGTAGGCTCCTAAATATATTAAAAACAGAGCTACCATATATCCAGCAATTCCACTCCTGGTATTCATCCAGAAGATTTAAAATCAGTGTATCAAAGAGATATCTAAACTCCAATGTTCACTGCGGCACAATTCATAATAGCCAATTAAAGAATCAACCAATCAATCAACAGATGATTTGAGAATGAAAATAGACTATATATTCACAATGGAATGCTATTCGGGCCTGAAAAGAAACAAATCCTATTATTTGTATCAGCATGGATGGGACAGGAGAATATTATGCTAAATGAGAAAGACAAGCACAGCAAGACAAATACCATGTGTTCTCATTTTAAGTGGAATTCAAAACAATGGAACTCGTAATTAAAAATAGTGCATTGTATACTTTGAAAATGCCAAGAAAGTAAATCTCAAATGCTCAAATGTTCTCCATAAAAAATATATATTTGTGGCCGGGGATTTAGCTCAGTGGTTCTGCTGCCTGCCTAGCAAGTGCAAGGACCTGAGTTCGATCCCCGGTACAAAAAAAAAGTATTTGAGGTTATGGATTTTAGTTCATTTAAATATTCTACAATGTACTGATAAATCACATCATCATTTTGTAACCCATATGAAAGAGAAATACATACTATTTTTTTTGTACAGAAGAACTTCAAAGCAGTTTGACTCGTAGCTGTCAAAAGTCTGCCTGACTTTCTCGATGGTCTTCTTATCTGTCAATTCACCATACATAAAACTGTAAAAAAGAATGTTTTTAGTTTGTTTTGCTTTTAAACTGTTATATAAAATCATAGTTGTCTTTGATTATTTAAATTTGCCTACAAAATAGTGTTGCTCCCTCGCAGTACATTAAAATATTTAAACTAGTTGTGTGTATTTGAGGTTAACAACATAATGTTACTGAATACATATACATAATAAAATGTTAAACCATGTTTTAATTATGATTGCTAAACTTGATAACAATGATCTTTGGAAGTCATTTATATACAACAGAATGTGTGTGTGTGTGTGTGTGTGTGTGTGTGTGTATATGGAGAGGAAAATGGCTTTATATATTTCCCATATCCATAGATTTTAATTATAATGGACTAAATAACAGCAGTGTCACAAAAACACAGTTCAAATTTCATTTACCACAATATGTTGACTGTGAGTAATACAGCTACATAACTATAAACTTCACCGCTAGGTCTTCAGTCTACAAATCACTAGACATTTATTATCCTTCATCCATTGATTTACTTTCTATGGTTTCAGTGACCTATGGTCTGTCATGCCCCAAAAACATTCAATGGGAAAATGAACAATTCGTAAGCTTGAAGTTGTATCCATTCTGAAGCACATGATGCCATTTCACACCGTCCTGCTTCACCCATCCACAATGTGAAGCAACCCTTTGTCCAGAGTCTCCATACTCTCCATGCTACCCACCAGTTAGCCACTTACTAGGCATGTTGGTTATCAAATTAACTACAGTATTGTGATTTTGTAGTGTCTCTGTTCTAGTAACCCCTATTTTACTTAATAATGGGCCTAAAACATGAAGGTAATGACTCCAGCAACTCAGATATACCAAGAGAAGCCACAAGATGCTTCATTCAAGGGAAAAGGTGAAAGTACCATAAGATATTTTCAGAGCCAGAAAGAGAAGCCATGTTCACATAATTTTACCAAGGTGTATTGTTATAATTGTTTTATTTTTATTGTTAGTTATTATTAGTTATTGTTGTCTCTGCCTATCTTATTAAATTTTATCATAGGATGCATTATAGGGAAAAAGTATAGAATATGTAGTGCTTGGTACTACCCATGACTCCACTGGGAGTCTTGGAACTTGTCCACCAGAGAAGGGTGAACTACTGCCACTAGCAGATGTACATGACCAATGACTAATTACAACATTCTTCCAAAGCTTGTCATAATTGGTAACTGTGCACACATTGTTTACTCCACACACAAACAGCAAAACATTTATTTGGTTGCTTCCTCATCAATCAGTAAGAAACCCATGTAGCATTTTACAAAGTGGACACTAGGAAGCAAGAATCAGCTAAGAAAATTTAAAGTTCACCCAAAGAATGAAAAATGACAGCATTGGCCAGGAAATTCAAATTGAACATAAATGGTTACAGACAAAATTAAGGAGCATGAGATGCTGCCACACTGCCTATGGGAGGCTGCAGATATGCAGCCCCAGGAATGAGGCAACCCATTAGCATCAAAGAGGAAAGGGGCTTGAGAAAAATCCTGAAGGGGTCCCTGTCAGAAATTAAAAGCAGATGGTTCATGATAAAAAAAAGTAGAAGCATAAATTATTTGAAGTTGATTGTAATGTAGAAATGAATTTGATGATTTTCTAAGAAATAGAAAAGATGCTCTCTTTGCAGCCTAAGCAACATTACGCATAAGGCAAATATTGTTCAAATGAATTGTGGCCAGTTTTTTTTTACAAAGGAATAAAATAATTTAACTCTCAATTGTTCTACTATTCTAAATCACTGTATATTAAATAAATATTAATTTTATTATTGTTCTCGTCTCCCTCCACTTACTAAGAGAGTTTTAATTTTTTGAAAAATATGTTTAAAGTTGACAGGACAGTGATCTATCATCCTTTCCAATGAGTATTAAGTCCATATTACATGGTTTCAGTTTGCTTGGTCTTTTTTATGTTTCCATACTACCATAAAAATAGAGGACTGTAAGTCACGCATATAACGCACTTGCATTCTCATTACTTCAGATATGTACAAGTGTGGCTCTCTGTGGCTATAACACACAAAGCAAAGCAGATTAAGGAGTAAGTACCTATATTCCCTAAAAACTTTCCAATTTCAGTTACAGGAAGAATTCTGGCAAGATGGCTGACTAGAGACAACAGATGTGCCCTACTTTCAAATAAAGGAAAAAAAGTACAACTACCATGCAGTTAGAATATGTGGGGGAGACAGCTAAACACACTGCAGATGAAACAGAAATTGTGGAATATGGAGACTATGACTAATCTGGTAAAGAAGGAAATAAAACATTCTATCAACTTCCCCACTGCTCTGGTTCAGACCAGTTTGATCCTAGGAAAGCACTCCTACACAGAGAAACAGGTAAGCAGAAGGTCTCAGCAGCCCACACCGGCACCATAAACACCTGAATTTTTCACTACTGGGAATCCTGCAGTCCACAAAAGCAAGAAGCCCAGTTGGGGAGCACACAGCATTGCGCTGTTTTGGAGGGGGAACCTCCTCTACCTAGGATGTCGCTACACAATGTTATTTTGAGAACAAACCTAATTGAGAACAAACCTAACCTCACTCCACTTACACTGGCCTGTGTGATTCACCTTCTCATACTATTAGAGTGGCTCCACTTCACACAAGTCCTGGAGATTAACAGATGCAGTCAGTATTATAGATGCACTATAGCCATGGGAGCTGCATCACACTTGCCCATAATCCAGCACCAGTAGCCCCAGCCCTCTGTGGCCCACAAAGACTGGCAAACATGCTCCTGCCATCATGTATGTGCACTGCACCAGACCTGCTGGGACCCTCTGGAGTAGGGGATCCACTAGAGTGGACAGTCCATCCTAGGGTGCTACAACATACTCAATACAGCCTGCAGAGAGGGACTTTCCAACTCTACTGCTACCCGCACTGCACCCACAGCCCCTAGTTACAGCTGAAGACATTGCAAGAAGACAACATGACACTGTCCACCTGGAACCAGAGCCAACACAGCTTACCAAATTGACACTCTAGTCTAAGAAGTCACCCTATTAAATTTATAGAAACATGATCATCTCAATAGATACAGAAAAAGCAATTGACAAAATCTAACACCCATTCATGATAAAAAAAAAAAAACCATACAGAAAATTGGAATAGAAGGTCTTTATCTCAACCTGATTATGGCTATCTATGAAAAACTACCAGCCAACATGATACTAAATGTTCAAAAACTGAAAACTTTCACAAGAAAATCAGGAAGAAGACAAGGATGCCCACTACCACCACTCCTGTTCAATATAGCTCTCAAAACATTAGCCACAGATATTAGAAAAGAGAAAGAAATAAAGAAAGGAAAGGAAGAAGTTAAACTGTCATTATTTGCTGACAATATGATACTTTACATAGAAGACCCAAAAAACACTGCCAAAAGACTTCTAGACTTAATTGACAGATTCAGTAGAGTAGCTAGATACAAGGTCAACACTAAAAAAACATAGCCTTCTTATACACAAATAACAG